GAGAGGCCTCCATGTGATTGTGATCTAGTCATTCAGCAGAATATGGATGACGACCACGGACTCTTTCTAGACTGTCCTGTGGAATGCTGGCAGGCTCATAACCTGTAGGTGTTGGTGAACTTGGGTGTTCATTTGCTGTATTCTATCCCCCTCATGGTTGCCTTAGGACATTCGTTGCTGAGGAAACCCCTTTACAGTAGTGTCCGTCCCAATGAAAATCCTAGATTAGGTCCCTTGTAATAGTTGTTATCATAGGGACGTAAAGTGAGGATAACGGGAATGGGTAATCGGGTTATTGTTGGTTGGTGAAATTAAATATAATTCTTTATTGTGGGTTGAAAACCCTATATGCTCACCAGGCTCCCAAGTCTGACCCACTCAGTTTCTTTGTATTACAGGTAGTGGCGTGAGAGCATAAGTTGGAGAACTTGTGAAGATGTTTTTGTTTATAGATCAGTAGTTGTTTATAACTGTGTAAGGTCTATGTTTTATTGTTTATGCTTTTGTGTCTGTATCGGAACATGACATCCCGAGTTTTGATATATAATGAAAATACATTTCTTTAAGAAATGCTTTGATAAACTTTATTTTATCATGTATTGTTTTGGGGACAAATTCTGCAACTCTTTTAAATCAATGGATTTACTCTGAAATTATTTTAAAAGCATAAATGAAACCGGTCTTTTCTGGCCGTGATTTTGGGGATGTCACAGTCAAAGTCAAAGTCAACTACAACAGGTCGCCACGTCGTGACCATCCTTGGTCATGTCGTGGCCACTATACGACAAAACAAATGGGCCTCGACCCAGTCGCCACGTCGTGGCGACTGGTTTGTGCAGCTTAAACCATTAAGTCACTTTTCTTTACAACTTCAAGGGCTCCAAAACTCAGATCTGGTCCTTTCTAAGGTCCAAGTGGATAAAGTTTCCAAATTTAACCCTTTAGACCCTCCAATAGATAGAGATCTCTCTTCTAGGCCTAAATAAGGCAAAACATGACTTAACTTAACCCATTAAGTACTTTTTCCTTGAAGGCTTACTAGGTCCTCATTTCAGAACGTTTCTAGCACCTTATAATCACATAAAAATCCATACTTTCCAGACATGCATGTCCAATGCATGTCTTGGACTCTTATTAGGTCAAAATAGAGAAAAATGGGCTAAGATCTCACGAAAGAGTTCAAAACTATATAAAACTCCAGATCCAACACTCCTAACCACAAATGGACTCTTGGGAATCATAAAGTTGGCAACTTTATGAAATCTCAACACTCCAATATGTACCAACATGAATAATAAGGCATAGAAACCTAGATATATGCACAATAAACCAAAAAGCTTGGAACTTGAGGACTTACAAGAGTCCAAAAGATGCACGACAAGATGATGAGAAGAGTTTCTTATTGAATCCAAGTCTAGAGGTCACCTTCTTCTTTTCCTAATCCCCAAAAATCAACACAAAAAGCTTAGAGAGCAAAAATGGAGGTTAGGGTTTGCTTGGAGGCTGAGAGAGTATGCTAGAGGCTTAGGGTAAGCAACCCTAGCCATCACATTCCCTTAAATAGGTTGAAAACCCTGGATATTAAGGTTTTCTCATTAAGCAACTGCCACACCATGGCCATAGGCTACCACGTTGTGGCGGCATGCCCGACCCTGATGGTGGGCAACCTGGGCGGGTTAAATAAAAAAATTAAATATCAAAATATAAACATTAAGTATGATTTAAAATTAAATTTTAAAATAAGGAAGGAAAAAACATATTTATTGCAATTTATGATCATATTTATTATATTTAATACTCTACTTATATAACTATATGTATTATGTGACTTTTTAATTTTAAAATTAAAAAAAATCCTATAAATTGACATGCGAATATTATTTATTTCAAAAATACCACAAAATGACAAGTATCAAAACTTATGAGAGATCGACATGTGGCAAAATGAATCTTCATTTATTAGAGTAGTAGTTTATAACCCGTGAGAACCACGGTTATAAAATTAATTAAACTTCTATATTAAAAAATCAAAATTATTAATCAATTATTTTAAATAAATTATTACAAAGATATTTTTTAGTTATATAAAATTATAATCGTTGAATTAAATAAATACGTGAAGTTATATCACCTTATAATCTGTATAAATTTTATTTTATTTTTTAATCTAATGTTATTAATTTAATATGATTAAAGTGAAAAAGTTTAAAATTTGAAAATTAAAATTTAATTTAATTAGGATGGAAAATCTAAATTTTAAAATTTGAAATGGATAATTAATATGTTGAAAAGTGGCATTGATATGGGACATATAATATCAATAAGGATGTTTAATATAATGACACTTGTCAATAGAAATATATATATATATATATATATATATATATATATATATATATATATATATATATATATATACACTAGGCGTAACCCCGCGCGTTGCGCAAGAATGCATTTAAGTGGTTAAAATAATTATGGGAAAAAATAGAAATATGTTGAAATTTACGTTTTTAGTCATGTTTGGGCATTAACCGAATTATCAAATAATATAAAAATCCATCAATTTATATTTTGATACTATCTAATATAGTACATACCTTATAAACTTTACTTTTACTTTTATAATATCCAATATATATTATAAGTTTTTGTATAACATTAATATAATCTACTTTTCTTATGTCCGATAATATTTTTTGGATAAAAGAAGAAATAAGTTGTTTTGAATGAGGTATTAATAAACAATATTGAACTAATAAACTTTGTATTACACTATTTATATTACACCAAAACATCCAAAGTTTCATATATGAACTTTTAAATATTAAACATTGAAATTAAGAATGAAGTCATACAAAATATATCATTATACATAAATGTTGTCAAGAGTTTTAAAATAAGTCGATTAGTAAATATAATATTTAATTTTAATTGCATATTTTGCAAGGCGTACGTTTGACTTTATGTTGGTGCGCCGATAATCTTCTTCCTTAATTTGTACCTAAAAAATTAAGGTGAATAGAAATATAAAATAGATATTACTAAGCATTAATATAAATAATTAAAAAGAGTATGTGGATCTCCTACCACCGGTTAAAGACAACATACATCTCTAATTGTATCAGTCATTCTATGTACACCTTGTTTTCTAATTACATAAACAAATATGACTAACCAAACATAAAAATGTTATCTTTATGTAGGAAAAATATTTTAGTTAAATAACAAACTAAATAATATAAGTTTAAGAGTTAGGAGTTTCAAAACATTAATATTTTTATTAATCAATCAATTAAGTAACACATGTTGAAATTTTTACCAATCATTATTAAAAAACATTTGAAATATTAGATTTTAAATGAATTTTGGTTGAAGTGTTTTGACCTCTATTATAATATATATATATATATATATATATATATATATATATATATATATATATATATATATATAGAGAGAGATAGAGAGAGAGAGAGAGAGAGAGCTAGGTTCAAATGTTTCTAGCAACTATTGTGTGCATGAATGCACCAATAAGAATTTAGGAAATAATAAAATAAATAAATAAATAAATAAGGGTGATTTAGTAATTTGATATATAAATTCCATAAATATTTCCTATAATCTAGTTGTATTGACTTTTACTCTAATTTCTCCCATATTTATCTACGACTGTTCTTTTTCCCTCACCCCACTTGTGTTTGTGTGTGTGTGTGTGTACGAGAGCACGTTCTTCATCATCAACAAACGCTCCTGCATCCCTCGTCATCATCATCATCATCATCTCGTGATGCGAGTGCTCCAAGATCACATTCCCTCTTCCTGATGGAAATCCTAAAGTTTCCACATCCATTAGCTATAAATGTGATCGAACAAGATTTGAAGATGAAGATGTTGAATTGATGTCAAGGGATCCGATTGAGAGGTTTTCTCCTTCCAGAAAAGATGGAATTGACGCCTTACAGGAAACTCATTTGCGCTACTGTTACTGTGCGTTTCTTCAGAACCTTGGAATTCGTCTTGATCTGTAAGCAAAACATTTTAGTTTATACTTTACTTATATACATTTTTGAAATTAGGCAATAACATAAACTTTTGTCTATTCTTTTGTTTGAGATTAACTTTCTTTCAATTTAACCACAGCCCACAAACTACTATTGGAATTGCTATGGTTCTATGCCACCGTTTTTTTTGTATAGAGGTCTCATGCATCCCATGACAGATTTGTAAGTTACCATTTCTCTTTGGTCAATAAATTTTTGTATCTTAGATGTTAATACTTATTGCATATAGGCCTTATTTCCTTTATTATTCTTTTCTACTTTCAAAATGTAATCTTTATCTGAAAGAATTTAATATATAATCTTTATACACTTTGCTGCAGCTGATTGCTACTGCTGCTCTTTTTCTTGCTGCAAAGGCGGAGGAGACACCTTGCCCTCTGAATGATGTATTGAGAGTGTCCTCTGAAATTTTCCACTAGCAGGATTTCAATGTGCTCTGCTATTTACTCCCCATGGTGACTTGTTAAACTTTCTATTATCTTTTCAATCTTTTTATATTACTTTTGTATGATTGCTTTTATCTAATGTACAACTAACTATTCAAACATGATTGGTTTGATGAATACCGAGAACGAGTGCTTGAAGCTGAGCAAATGGTTTTGACAACTGAGCTGAATGTGCAGCATCCATACACACATCTCACATCCATTCTTGACAAATTAGGGCTTGCACAGTCACTTTTGGTAAACCTGACATTAAGCTTGGTCAGTAAAGGGTAAGCCATCCATTTCTTCCCTTTTATGGAGTTAATAAAATATATGAATTAGAAATAGAATGTTGGTTGCTTTTTCATTTTAACTACAGTGGTTATGAGCCGGAGATGGAGGCTGAAGCCAAAGATTTTGAAGATGAAGCAGGAGGCATTTTAACTACAGTGGTATATTCTTGATAATACAAATTCTTTAAGAATATTCAAAACCATTCTACAAGAATAGTTTATTCTGTAAGAATATTATTGATGTATTCTAATAGAATTGAAGTTAATTATTTGTATGTTTAATGTGCAGTTGTTACAAGTGTATCACTACCAATTATTTGGCAATGAATTTCTGATAGAAATGGCTTGAAGAATGGCTTGAAGACCTTATGGGAAAGGATTGAAGAATGAATTAAAGAATGATCACACTCACTGTTTAAGAATGTTGTTATTTTTTAAGAATTATACTTGTTATTCTTTCAGAATGTTTGTTATTATTCAATGAATCACAATCATACAATGTAATTATTTGGTATATTATTAGTTCAAGAATCAATTTTGTGTATTCTTTCAGAATGTATTTACTAGTTTATGATTGGCATTCTGTCATTCTGACAGAATAAAATCGAAAAATATATTTACTAGTTTATGGTTGGCATTTTATCATTCTGACAGAATAAAATCGGATTTTTAAATTTGAATTAATTTAAAATATTCAAAATTTTAAAAATAAAGGAATTAATTATCCCTAAAAATCCGAAAATTTCCTTTTTTAATATAGGTTGATTGACTAAAATTCTCTTATGCTGAAAATTTGTGTGATTATATGGTACATGTTATCCTATTCTAATATCATAGACCCTCGGATCATGACCTTTGATTCTATTCCATCCGACGGTCCAGATCTGTGCATTCTGGCACACAATAGTTAGTAAAAACAAAATAACATAAGCCTATATATAGGGCTAGGTTATAATGTGGATGACATTTATTGTGTGGACGTAAGGACAATTCTGGACCAATCATTTTGGAGTAATATACACTTTTTTTATATCGTTATTTTAGGCAATTAATTAGTCAAATCCATAAATTTAGGAAACTTATCCAAATCAAATTAATTATATTAATTATTATTTATAATACTTAAAGAATACTTGTATATTTTTCTGGTCCCCTCCAAGAAAATAATTTCAAATTGAAGAGCATTCTTAAAGAATATTTATAAATATTCTTTCAAACAAAACACAATTCTAAATGAATTACAAAAACAACCAAGTAAATTTTTTCTAAATTTGAAACAATTCTTAAAAGAAAACTCTTCATTTGATGCGAGGACAATAAATAATGTAAAGAATATGCAATATTCTTTTTTTAAATCAAAATATTGCATATTCTTTACATTCTTTTTTTAAATAAAATAATGAAAGAATTACAGCAACATCAAAATAAAGAATGAAGAATCAAAATCATTCTTATTGGAAAACTATATCAAAAGAATTAGAATTCTTAAAGAATATGCAATATTCTTACAGAATGTGATGTATTTTTTTAAAAGAATGTAAGGTATTCTAAAAGAATGTAAAACATATTCTTGACGTATGCCTCTAGAAAATGTAAAAATGTGTAGCAGAATAAACTTGATCTTCTTTATTGGGCTATAGAATTGAGTTTATCTACTTGTGTTTAAAATAAAAGAATAGTTGTTACAAGAATTCCTGCAAAATGAAAAGGCGAACTATGTTAGGAAGTTTTTGCATTGATTCTCCATGTGTATGTCCATCTTTCAAATTTAGATATTTTCCTGATGACAAATTGTGAAGGAATATTATCAATTCATCTTTAAAGATTTTGTTTTTCAAGAACTGCCATATCTAGCAACAATAAGACATACGAGTTTACGTTTACAAGCTAAACATGTCAACCATACGTACTCTTGTTGGATTAGATGTATTTTACTGTTGGTAACATCAGGGAAATGTAATTTACTGTTGGTAACATCAGGAAATTATACTTTTCATTACACCTGCTACACAATTGTTGCCTTCAAATCAGATCGTCAATTTGATCAGTCCAAGCAGAATGTCTCTATGAAGAGTAGAAACATGATGAAAAACACCACAAAAACTACATCAATGTATGTGGAATTATAGCTCCAATACAAGAAAACCACCAATTTAACTTATGATCTGCCATTTAATAGATTCAAAAAAAAATGAAGACAATAAGAACAATTTCAATAATAAAAGACGAACAAAATCACCAATTTCAACAGGAAAATGAGATAAAAAACATTTCAAAAGAACAAATGAACACGATCAGAACATTTTAGTAAAGAGATGAACAAAATTACCAATTTTAGTAGGAAAAAGAGAGAAAATAAACACTTGCGGTAAAGAAAAAACTACTACTGAGTTCTATTCAGAGCAGACGATAGGAAAAGAAGACGCAGTAACAATAAAATCTAATAGCAACAAAATACCTTCGTATTTTCTCCGGAACAAAATATCCCCATCAAGGGTTTGGTGACGACTCCTTGAAAAAACAGTGACGGAAGATGTTAGCGGATGTGCTGATTTTACCGGTGAGACCTTTAGTGAACCGATGATGGTGAGAACTGATGGTGCAATGGTAGGGTTGTCGGGAAGGGCTTTCAATCTGATGGAGTTAAGTGGTGGCTGCGATGGAGAATTTAAAAACGCAGGAACAATTTAAAAAAGCAGGAACAGGTCGATGTCTTCTTGATGAGGGTAGTTTTAAATCATTAAACTAATTACCTAAATAAAAGGGATTAAGGATTTAATTATTTATTTACCAAAATTAATATTTTAAAATGATGGGTCCACACTAATCCCTACATCCACACAATAATTGTTCCACCAATAATCCTTCATCCTCTCTCTCTCTCTTTCTCTCTCTCCTCTCTCTCTCTCTCTCTCTCTCTCTCTCTCTCTCTCTCTCTCTCTCTCTCTCTCTCTCTCTCTCTCTATATATATATATATATATATATATATATATATATATATATATATAGAGAGAGAGAGAGAGAGATATGGAAAGTATAACATATGTATGAGTTTTAATTAATTATCTTTTTGAAACGATACAATTACAAAACAAAAAAACATATTTAAAATATTTAATTAAATATTTTCGACATCACCATATATAACATATGATCAATATATTAACGATTAAACCACAATATACAACGACTGTATTACAATAATCCAAAAACGAAGAAAATATAAAAACGAATTAGTATAATAAACTTACAAATTAAAAGCTCTAATATAATAGCATATCTCCAAAAGTGGTCATAAGACCTCAACCAAACACAAAAACTTTTAAGTTTGTTTTCTTTCTGAAATTTGTATATGATTTGTATGCATGTCTTTCCAAAAGATTGGTCTTTTATAGTAACTTTTCACTAAATGCTAATTAAACATAGTATAAGTTATAAAACTTTTGAGTGTTAAATCATAATTAAGAAAACTTTTGAATTGCATTAGTTAAAAAATGGGGTTTCAAAGAAATATGGTTTGAGAAAGTTAAAAAATGGGGTTTCAAATGCATGAGATTCAAGAAAAAATGCTAGCTTTATAAGTATGTATGATGTATGATGTATGATATATATATATATATATATATATATATATATATATATATATATTGAGAATAAATGAACAATAAACCGATGATAATTGTTTGGAATGCTTCGTTTCGAACATGTTGGTTATTTTATATATCTCTTAGAAAAGACAAAAGTGCAAAATTGGTCCTTGTGGTATTCGAAAAACTGTGGATAAGGTCCAAAAAGTTTCTGACTTGCATGGAAGGTCCAAAATCAAGATTTTTCCGTGATTTTGGTCCTAAAATTAAGAAATTTCTGTAGTTTTGGTCCATGGAACATTTGAATTGACTGTTATGCCCTTTTAATTTCTTTTTTCTATTTTTTATAATTTTTAATTTGTAAATATTAATGCAAAAAAGGAATTATGTTGGCACACCCCATCCTTCCATCTCTCTCTCTCTCTCTCTCTCTCTCTCTCTCTCTCTCTCTCTCTCTCTCTCTCTCTCTCTCTCTCTCTCTCTCTCTCTCTCTCTCCGGTGGCATCCAACACGGCTCAAAATCTTCCTCCCCTTTTGTAAACTCCTCCCATAACCCAATGAGACCACCACGATCCTCTAAAACCATGGTCATCGACACCATCTTCACCCATCGTCGTCACCACATCTGGTTCGTAGTCCAACACAACCATCTGAAAACCAGACCATCGCTCATCCTCGAGCTTTCCATCCCAACCCAATCCTTTGTTCAAGAAATACGGGTTGGACTCGTCCGATTAGCCCTTGAATGCATGTAACACTCAGTTTTGAAAGTATTTGTTTGTGTTCCGGAGGCCAAGGGTATAGACGATTCAGTTTTTATGGGGTCTCGGGTTTTATCCGAAAGGTTTTAGGCTTGAGGGTGTTGCTAGGAGCGTAGGGCTACTTGTCATATTTTCATGGATATAAAGTTTGTCGGAAACGGACTTAAAATGAAGGAATTATAGCACTTTGAAGTTATTGGCATTATTGGTCCTTAATGAAGAAAGATGGCAAGAAAGGACCATGCATGCAAGGTGGTAGACGAGAGTGTACGCCCAGCGTATAAAGGAGAATGGTCGCGGGTGCGGAGGGGCGTACGCCCAGCGTATCCTCAGAGTTCCCAAAACCCTAATTAGGGTTAAGCCCTATATAAAGAACCTTATGTCTCGAAGGCCAGCCTCCATTTCCACCCTAAAAGAGCTACTACAAAACCCTAATCCATATTTGAGTGTTCTTGGAGCTTAGAAGGCCACTAGAGAAGTAATGGACTTTGAGTCTTTGGGCTTGGTGGGCCATCAGAAGTCAGATGTTTTGGTCCAAGAATATGTTTGGGCTTAGGGTAAGGCCCATTAGAGGGATTGGGCCCAATTTAGCAAATTGGGCCATTAGTGGATTGGGAAGCCTACCTCGTGTTGGGCCTTTGTAGATCATGGTTTGGGCCTTAGAAAGGGACCAAGTTGGACTAGGGGGTAAAACGGTCATTTTACCCTAAGAAGGATTATTGATTTGGACTAAGTGATATTTTGGTATTGGTAGCTCGGGGAGCTGAAGGATCAGCAACTCACGAATTGCCAGATAACAGCCATAGGGGTATCAGCAGGACTCCAGCAGTGCAAGGTGAGTTTCCTCACCGTGTGCATGGATCTAAGGCCACAATGTCGGCCCATTATGTTTGTGTATAGTAGGAAGACCTGGGGGTTAGCCCTGGGCACTGTACGTTATATGTTCCGGATCACGATCCGATGACCGGGCGAGGCCCGAGGAATGTTAGTATGCTAGAGG